CACAGAGATCATTGCTAGGATAGCTGAGTAATACAGGTTTCCTAACTCGGAAGTGGCGAACGCCAAAGGAAAACACGAGTCATACCTCTATATAACTGACTGATGTGACGAGTGATAACGGATATACGGGTGAATTTCTGCTCACTAATAATTCCTTCGAAGACCAAAAAGTTGTGTGAGATTGTGAGAGGATATCTGACAATTCATAAAAAGAATTGACTGCCACTAGATAAGTGAACACGAAAGAAAAACAGAAAAAGTCTGTGCATTACCATGTTTTTATAAGGTATAGAATGAATATAAACAAGGGAATGTACGGACTATTTCTATTTTTCTTGTGTTCTCTTATCTAATGACATTCAATTACTTTATTGAATTGTCAGGTATCCTCTTACAGTCCCATATACATGTAACAACTTTTGGTCTTCGAAGGAATTATTAGTGAACAGAAATTCGGCTGTGTATCTGTTATCACTCGTCACATCAGTTAGTTATATAGAGAGATGACTCGTGTTTTCCTTTGGCGTTCATCACTTCCGATTCAGGAAACCTGTATTACTCAGTTATCGTAGCAATTATCTCTTTGTTAAAATTATATTTGGAATGTGTTTAACCAGCTCTATTATAATGACTGGCACCAATATTGTCCTTTAAGTGTAAATTATCACTTATCTTCATCAAAATATTCCAATATTTTAAACTAGACTTGATATAAAATCTGTTCTTTGGAAATACATGTATTCTCTGAGGCCAAAAAAGAAAAGTGTTGTTTCAGGTAACGGATGGAAAATAGTGTAGGGTTGGTAGGTAGGGTTTTTTATTTTTTTATTTATCAATTTGATCTACTGTATATTGTGTGCGATGGTTGAGTCAGTGTTGGTATCTATAGTGGATCATTAAACATAAATAGATTGGTGGATGGAGTTCTTGGATAATCATTTGAAATGGGGGCAAATGTACATTTTAATCATTCTACGCTTTAAAAAAATGCTAGCGTACGGAGATCACTTTGTTTCCATGGATGCATCGTTCCAGGAAAGAACTTTTGATGAAATTAAAGGAGCAGATCCAATTCACATGTTTGAAATATGCGTTCGCTTGTTTTTGTCCAATTGCGAATCCTTATAGCTTTTTGGAAAGTGACAGGTAAATTTATGTGAAACCTGTAGTCTCAATTTTCACATCAGTTAGCAATTTCGCGTCAACAGTATGGGAATTTTTAATAATCATATGCTGTACCCACCTATTCCAATCCATAAACGCAGACTCAAAGATGACATTTATAACAACCAAAAAAATATAGACATTTTCACAAATCCGGTAGGCTTAGAGAATTCTGAATGATCAGTAAAGAAAAGTTTTTTATTTCTCATAACACTGACATTTTTTGGGGGGTCTGACATGAAATTGACATGAACTTGTCCCTTTAATTACTAGTCCCCCCCCACCCCCCCGCCACACTCCAATCTATTTGGTTTTCATTCTGTTGGCTATAAACATGTGATAGCTTGATTGACAGCTTATTTACTTAAGTGTTACAAGTATATTATAATTATAAACCTTTTAGAGTTAGTCCTATTCATTGATTCACCTAACAAGATTGAATGAAATAATCAATTCAAATTTTGTGTCTGGTTTCTTGGAGAAAAAAGAATGATTTAAAAATCAAAAATGCTTGGTTGCATACTCGTCTCAAAAGCTTTTAGTTCCACAGTTTCAGATTTTAAAATTCTAAATAAAACAATTTTCATGAGAGTTGTGTGGCTTTTTATACGCCCACATTTTCCATGTGGATGTATATTGCCGTCACCCCCATCCATCAGTCTGTTGGTCCATTCGTCTGTCCGTCTTTCCATCCATATCCGTCAAAAAGATGTTATCCAATTGTTTTAAAATTTATATATTTTGTTTGCATTAGTGAGATGAAGAAACCTTTTTAATTTCAATGTCTGTTTATTACATCAAGAAATGTGGCCCTTGTTTCACTTTATTGAACCTTTTGAACACTCTAACGCCAAAAGTTATCATCTGATATTTGTGAAATTTATATGCATTATTGTGAACTCTCAGTTTGTAGAACCTTGTGAATCCTCAAACAACAAAAATTATAACCTGGTCTGTATGAAATTGTCTTGTAATTGCTCCCATTACCTACAAAAGAATAAATATGCGACAACTCTGGTTGACTGCTCGAACGATTTAGCTGCTGTGGGCATGTTTCATTGCCTGTCCCCTTAGAACAAAAAATTGAATTGGTTTAACCTTGCCTTATGATTACAAACTTCTAATAAAACACTATATTGAATGATACCAATATCTAATTTTTTATGGCTTAATCCATGCTAAAATTGAATCGTAAGTCTCAGTGGTTGATTCCGCGATACAGTGCAATAATGGTTTAGTAGCTCTGATGTAGTAAAATTTGTTGTCCTGTTATAGTATATTTGGAGAAACAAAGAATGATTTTAAAAAAATCAAAAATGCTGTGTTGCTTTCATAGGCATGGGAGGGTGCTGAGGCTATTTGCCCGAAAAATTTCTTTGTCACCCAAATTTTCAGAATGAATCAATCATTAACCAAAACCAATTTTCCACAAAGCTGTGATGGTTGGTTATTTTTAATAAAATTACACAATTACAAAACAATATAAATTTACAATATGTTAAGCAAAAAACAACTTAATGTTTCCCATTCTCTGATGTTTATACCCGAAAAACGAAATACATTGCCCAATGGTTGATTTTCTCCAAAGCTTTTAGTTCCACATTTTGAAATTTTGAAATTTTAGGTAAAACATTTCTTGTTTATCATGACCCTGTAGGATGAAAAATTAATTTGGTTTGACCTATAAGCTTGTATTTCGCTTCCTTGTGGATATTTGTATATGTACATACATTGGAAACTCGAAATTTCAGTAATTATTATATCATTATTAACATTGACAGTGTCAGTGATTTATTAATTGACTATAGTAGTACAAAACAACCACTAGTTCTCCGTGCGTATAAATAAGTTACTGTTTGTTTATAGAAGTCAAGCTAAGATCTATACAGAGTTATTGGCTAGCAAGATTTGGATGAGAAATGAGGATACTGCTTGTGTTGAAGGTAATAGTGTCAACATTTATAGTTACATGTGTGACAGGGTTGTCTGTTAGTATGTTTAAAGATTTTTGACATTTGGAAATCAATAATTTTTACCATCAATACACTAGAAGGTTGGCTATAAATCTATGTCAATTCATCAATGAATTTGCCTTTTTATTTTCCATTGTATCAGCTGTAATACAGACTAAATTTATCAACTAATCTGTATTAAATTTATATGCATTATTTGAAATCATGAACAAAGAAATATATTGAATTTCAACAGTTTTCATTAATTACTTCTAAAGTTCTGGCACTTGTTTAAATTTATTAAACCTTGTGAATGCTCTGACAAATTTATATTCAATTTGTAAAACAAAGCAGCCTATTGAAATTCAACAATTTACTTTCGTGAATTAGCCTTATGAATGCTTTAACAACAAAGTTATCATTCAATCTTTTTCAAATTCATAGATGTTGTTTACAAATCTAACAGAACGACTGTGCTAATAAGGACAGGCTTAATTATATCATACATTGTGGAATGAGGGAGGAAATTTTTCCCTGATAGAGGCGCTACGGCCTACTTGTAATTTCGAATTCCAGCTGTCGAAAGCCCCTTTTAGATACATGTAAATTGCATTAATATTTTGTTAGATGGTGATTATTCATACGTGTATGCCGATGTATGTCGGGCCAAAAAAGAAACTAATCGTTATAGGAGAAAGTACCTCTTAGTTAACAGGTTATCTATTTCTGATGCTAAATAATGAAAAAAAAAACGTTTTTGAAAATTGTCGGACTTATGAGGTTTTCATTTCTCAGCGACAATATTTATTTATAAATTTTGAAGTTTAGGCTTCAGTAATTACAACATTCTTGAATAATGCCCATTGCTTTTCATATTTTGGCTGTTAATTTAAAGTTTGTGAACGCAATACATGAAAACGTTATTTTAAAAAAGCTTGGCCTAAGGAGGAATCCTATTGAATATTTTGTGGAGTTATAACCCATTGGCACTCAAATTTATGAAATCTTGTGAACAAGATAGACCTAGTTCTTTATAGAACTTTGTAAAATATGTTGAAATTTACTATTGTTCATGGAGGGACGTTTAATAACTCTTTCATTTGAGGCCCATTGGTCAAATCTACCATTTGATTACAAAAGTTGCAGCACATGTGCTGATTCGATCTTTAATCTTATCCAGAATAGACTACTTCAATATAGCCTTGTGAAAAATACTGCGACTAGAATTGCGTGCCAATCTAGTAGAAATTGCCATATCACACCACTGTTAAAGGATTTACATTGGCTTCCAGTGAAAATCAGAATTACATGTAAGTTCCAAATTCACTGCTTAGCCTACAAAATACAAATGTCAGAAAGGTGAAACACCAGACTATTTCTCCTCAATGCTTGTTTCTTATGTCCCCCAAAGAAATCTTCTGTCCCAGCATGAACTACATCTTGTGGTACCCAACTATAGACTTTATACTTCTCATACACTGTACCAAACCTATGGAATACATTACTCTTTGAGTCAAGGGTTTTAACTAGCATAATAAAATTGCAAAATCATAATGTCTTTGTTATCTTTGAATAGTTTCGAACAGGTATAGTTGTTGTAATATAACATGAATATCAGTTAAATTTTGTTTGATGTGGTGTTAAATTCCATATGTAATAAATCTTTTATTACCAATCACAAAAAACATGTCGCAATATAGTTATAGTTGTTGTAATATAACATGAATATCAGTTAAATATTGTTTGATGTTGTGTTCAATTCCATATGTAATAAATCTTTTATTACCAATCACAAAAAACATGTCGCAGTATATTGTTACCGCCCTTATATTGATCAATTGTTTATCTCTAATAATATATGAACATTTGTCATTCATTTTCCAGAGGATGTTGAGAAGTGGATGAAAAATGAAAAAGGCCTTATGGAGGTTGTTTTGCCGCAGTAGCTTTTCCCGTCGTTTCTGGTTATTATTGGTAGTAATATGTGTAATATGGTCTGCTGCCCTTGTTAACGTCACACTTATTTACAATGACAGGCCGGAGAAAGAAAGCGAAGTACTCAAGGTATGGGTTGCTCAATTTTTGTTTGAAAAAAAAAATTATATTAGGGTGTCACAGTGGCTCAGTGAGTAAGGATTTTCTAGCATGGTTTCCCCCTTGGCAGTGGTGTGAGTTGGAGAGCCAGGCAAGAAACAATGTTTAGTCATTTGAATGTGAGGAAAGACTCGCGTCTTGTGTACATGTTTAGCGTGCACTTAAAAGATGATGAGTATGCAGAAAGTCGCAAAATTCCCTTTCACTATAGCACATTGCACGACTTATGTTTGTATTCATTAGAAAGATTGGAACAGAAAAGTAGGATGTTTACCTAATTTTATTTAATTTTATTTCAATCAAGAGCTGTTTTCATTTCATTCATTTATTAAGAAAGTTAATTGTTAGATTCTAGGAATTAAGTTTTTCTTTGTTTAGGCCTAATATTCAAGCCCTAAAAAGTCCTGATGCACCATTTTAGCACTATAGGAAGAACTTGCAAACTACAATATTGTGAACGAAGAATCTTTAATAGGAATACCACCATTTTATTTGTCTACGAAATTTTATTGATAGGCCTTTTTTTAAATCGGATTAAATTCAAGCCCGGACATTATCTAGCCTTGGTTTTTTTTATTTTATTTTTTTAATTAAATGTTAAATAATTAATCTGAGTACATATTAGCAAGGATTAAAGATACATTATGGAAGATTAGATAAAGAGCTGGCAGTTCTCACTATCAAATTTAAAAGCTAGATAATGTAAACGGAATAATGCTGAAAATTTCTGTCAAATTGCTTCGCTCTACTAAGCCAAGAAAACCTTATTTTAAGATCATTGTAGCCTCGATTGTCATTTTTACCACTGTCCATTTTTGTGGTTAATCATCAATGGGCGTTGAACAGTAGATCGGATTCAAATCCAATGAAAATCGTACGCATAAGATGGTATCGAGAGTAAATATCATCTTTTCATGTTAATAAATGTCTAATTGATAGTTTATATAACATTTCAGGCGCAAAGAAAGACCTGCAATAGGCAGATTTACCTCTTGCATATGTTTAAACAGTGATGAATTTATTATTATTTTGCAAAAATATGTTAAACAAAAAACAACTTAATGTTTCCCATTCTCTGATGTTTATGCCCGAAAAACGAAATACATTGCCCAATGGTTGCTTTTCTCAAAAGCTTTTAGTTCCACATTTTGAAATTTTGAAATTTTAGGTAAAACATTTCTTGTTTATCATGACCCTGTAGGATGAAAAATTAATTTGGTTTGACCTATAAGCTTGTATTTTGCTTCCTTTGTGGATATTTGTATATGTATATACAAAAGTAGGATGTTTACCTAATTTTATTTAATTTATTTCATTCATTTATCAAGAAGTTTAATTGTTAGTTCTTAGGAATTAAGTTTTTAATTGTTTAATATTATTATTATTTTGCAAAAAAATGCCCAAGGCACATCAGGACTTTAATTCCTTATGTTACACCTCATCATTGGTTGAACAATGTTTTAATATTTTAGATAAACAATACCTTTACCTGTCAGTCATTAATTATTTTGTTGATTACCAGGTATTTAAATCAATATGATACTGAATCAAAACAAAAAAACCCCTAAAAAATTGTTTTTTTTTACACTGATCGAAGTATAACTTCAATTAAAGAAGACATTGAGCATTGGATATTTGCTGATTGCTATCATTTTACATATTTGTTACTTCTGATCTGATTGATATCAATTTAAACAATGTGTTTGATAATTGCTGATAATGCTGAATGTTTTTTTTTAGATGGAAATTATTCGTCTAAGTGAAGAGTATGTGAAAGCTTTAGCGAATGAAAATGGCAACATGGTGGATGGACCTTATGCTGGACGATTTACAGCTTATGGTAATAAATTAATAAAACAAATTTTTATGGAAATTTCCTGCATGTAATGCTAAAGAATCTGTTTTATTAAACCTAGGGGGGTGGGGGCTGAATGGTTAATGCGCCAAATAGTTAACGCATGCGCATTGAATCATAAGCTCTGTCATTGAGTCAAGTGACGTGGTTTTTCTTCGGGTCCTCCAGTTTCCTAGCTTTCGGTCGAACGGATGTTAAATCCCATTTCTCTCTCTTTATTAAACCTTTTCCTCAGGCCATTGACAGCGTCAGGCCATTGATATGCCTTAAAAATGCTTTGATCAATTCTATCAGACTACAATCTGGGGCCTGTTTCACGAAATTTTAACTACGATAAAATCCATATTTTAGTAATTTGATTGGATAATACTAGGTTGATTTTAGTGCTTAGCCAATCAAAATTGAAGTATCTACTAAAATTTGGATTTTAACTTTAGTTAAGATTTCGAGAAACAGGGCCCTGTTTTTTTCAGTACTACAATCTGTTAGTATTACTCTATTTTATTACTCTATTACCTTTGGTCCTTGCTCATGATCTTATAAAACCTTGAAAACTGGTTTGTTAATTGGAACAACTTGTGTGATGATAAAATCACACAACTGAAAAATATATGTTGTTTAGCGAAACCCTTGAATTAGATAGATTTGTTTTTTTTTCAGTATTTTTTTTAGTTAATTTTAGCACACTTTTAAATAGATTTTTTTTTTAGCAAGACCCCTAAATAAAGTAGATCGTTTTTAGCAAGACCCTTAAATTAAATAGGTTTTTTTCTTATCAAGATCCTTCGATGAAATAGTCGTTTTTTTTAGCAAGACCCTAAATTAAATAGTTTTTTTTCTACCAAGACCCAATATTAGATGCATTTAATTTAAATATGATATTATGAGGCGAATACATCACACCACTCAGCCACCGAAAAGCCACTCAATTTTCAAATAACCTTGTTTTTTTAGAGGATGTTAAATCATAAAAATGTTTTTTTGCCAAAATACCTCTTTTTTTTTCTCCAGATTTGAAAAAGACAATGGCAGTACTTCTAGAAAGTATGTTGGAAAGATTACACCGATTGGAGAATTTCCTTAATGTTGTGACCAATGGGACTATGCTTAACAACACACAAAACATTTCATCAAAAGACAAACAAGCTTCTTTCATACTGGCTAAAGGTTTGATTGTGTTCCTAAATTACAATAGTATCGCGAAAGGACTGTGGTATACAGTATACGTCTATTTCTACCCCCACAAAAGAGACAAAATACCTTCAAAATATCTCAGAACTCACATGGTCATTTTGATCTCTTAGGCCAGTGATTCCCAACCTTTTGTTGGTTGTGACCCCATTCCAGAAACCAGCATCTTATTCCAATCCCTTGAAGAACAAAGTCGCATTTTACTATGAAACATCATCATCATTTACTACAGATCATAATGTTGTAATGAGAGACTGAGGATAGAAATCGTGAGCGTGAGGGAGATAGGAAAGATGGCAATGTGGCAAGAGGTGTATAGATCAGATATTTATATACTTTTCATGAAAACATAGAATTTTTTCAAAAGTTTCAGAGTAGTCTGTACGATGCCATGAAATCGGAAAAGGGGGTAGTGGCTGAATTTATCATTTTAGAAATTTTTGAATTTTTGGCCTAGACTTGTTCATCAATACTAAAGTCGGTAGGATAAAAAACATAGTCTCAATTATCCAGTTTTTAATGTAATCATCAATGAGCAGCAGATCGGATTCTAATCCAGTAAATATCGCAGGCTAGCGATGACATCGAGAATTGATTATGGTTTGGATAAGTTAATTAATATCTAATTAATGATTTAGATAACATTTCAGGCCTAAAGAAATACCTACAATTGGCAGATTTAGCTCTTGCATAATGTATGTTTAATTAAAATCTGGGAAACGATTATTGGCCATCTGTATCGTTGGGGCTTTATGGATCTTTATTCTGAAATCTGAATAGTTGAGTCAAATAATATATGACAATCTTTATGTTTAGTCACTTTAGAGGCAATTATTGACATTGTTTTATTTTAGATTTAATAATGGGAATCAAAGAAGAATGCATCCTTACTGAAGAAGATATTAAGATGTATCCCAATTGTCGTTCTAAGATGTATGTAAGTATATTGCAAGAAAATTCTTATAATTTCTTTCTTATATGTAAGTATATTCTCAGAGAATTCTGATATTTTTTTTCTTACATGTAAGTATATATTGCCAGAGAATTTTGATAAATTCTTTCTAACATGTAAATATATATTCCCAGAGAATTCTGATAGATACCTCCTACATGACACATTATCCTATCAACATTGTATTTTACTTCCTATTCAAATTACCCAAAGCAAATTAACTGAAGCAAATTGGTTTGCATCCATTTTTGGGTTCAGACAAACAGGCCTAGATTTCGTGTAAATGGACAATATATATTGGTTCATCTTGTGGTTTCTGCAAGATGGGGGGGTTGGATGGCCGTAGGGTTAGCATGTGCTCGCTGTATCATAAGGTCTGTCATTGAGTCAACTGGCGTTGTTTCAATCCCCCGGTTGTACTTGACAAGGAGAAGGACCGCCAGTCTAACTTTGTGGGTTTTCTGCGGGTCGTCCGGTTTCCTCCCACTGCTAAAGACCCCTATGCGCTAACAAATTATTGAAATAACCTAGTTTGTGTCGAGTGGAAGTTAAACCCCATTTCTCACTCTCTCTCTCTCTCACTCTCTCTTTCTGCAAGATGTCATTTAATGTCTCACTAGACTAATAACTATGTTGAAATATTGTGACAGCAATGTAATACCGAGGTTGTGGACCCTCCAGAGGTCACAATATTTATCCAATTTTGATGAAATTTAAAATATATGTTTATAACCCAAAGATCTCGGTTTCTGTCCTTATTTATTCATATCAGACCCTAACTTCTTCGATTATGTCCCCTGATTGTACGAAGAGTCATGTTTTTTTAACTTCTTCTCTATCCATCTCTTGCAAAATTTGGGTGTATCGTACATGGCAACCGCTGGTTTATCAAGGCAAAGCTGCTGTAAATAATATAAAATTATACCATAAAACTGAGTTTGTGTCAAGTGGACATTAAATCCAATGTATCTCTTTTTCTTTTCTTTATAATTTTCAGTGGATGAGCAAAATGTGGAAATCAGATAATTGTTATGCTTCGTATGGTGTAGATGGTTCTGACTGTTCCTTTATTATGTATTTAAGCGAGGTTAGTAGATGAAATTATAACATGGTTATATGATTTATTATAGAGCCTATATTTGAGGTATAATTTAATATGAGTAACCATGATTTGTAAGGTTTACTTCCGCATGATTTAAATCTTATACTTCTTACACAATTATCTGAATAGTTGTTAGACCAATATCTGTGTGGTATCAAGCGTGACATATGGCAAACTTTTAATCATAAGCACAAAGCAAGCTTCTCTTAATTCAACTTAAGTGTTTTTCTCAACAGAAAGTCATAGGCTTGGACATCATTGTCAGTTTCCCTGATTAAACATACATTGTGCAAGAGCTAAATCTGCCTATTGCAGGTTTTTCTTTAGGCCTGAAATGTTATCTACATTATTAATTTAAAATTTAATAGTTCAGTCATATTTTAATTTAAAAATTGAGGAGCGAGACTTAGCTTTGAGCAACCAGTACGGTGGTTGAAATTATTGCACACGTCTTGTCAAACCCTCAAAGGCTAATATCTTCACTCACAATTGAGTAATTTAAATGAAAGTTTCAAATTATTCATTTTTGATCTATTATAGCAAGATTGGCTAGCCCTTTATCTAAATCTTACATAATGTATCTTTAAAAATACCCCAACAGTTGCTGTGTTAAATGATAATAAGCAAAGCCTTGATCTTTCGTTTTAACATTAAATTATTAAATGGTGCAGAGGTTCTAATCCATTTAATATCTAATCCATCATTCGATTATCTAGATTGTTGATTATAATGTCAAAATAATAATTTGAAGCTAGAAAAACGACCTGCAATAGGCAGATTTAGATCTTGCATAAAGCATTTTTGAATTACTTTAAGCTTTATCTTGATGCAATAGGTTGAAGGTTTCTGTCCTAAAAAAGCTTGGAGTGGTTCTAAACAATTAAAGCTAAAAGATGGCGGTCCTGCTAACAATGTAAGTATTTATATAATAACTAATAAAAGTAAAATACATAGCAAATAGGACCCTGGTTTCAGACTTAACTGACAGTAGTGACTTTTTGGCAGTGAAATTGACTGGCTAGAGAATTTTACTGTCATTCAATTTAAATGCCATGAAATTAAGTATTTCAAGAATTCCTTTCCTTAAAACATAATGATTAATGTGAAAAATATAGTTTTAAGGGTAAGCGTAAAAAGCGCTTAATGATTAATTTAAAAATAGAGATATTCACATATATTTTTTAGGCAAATATTAATGTCAGTTTAAACAGTTTAATGCAGTTATTAATAGACCCCAATGAGAGACAGGGATATGCCTGGATACGTATGAGAATTACACGAATGTGGAGCCGATGGTCGGCAGCTGCTACAAGATTAAGTAAACATGATTATATGGCTAACAGGAGCAAAAAAAAGGTAACCGTTAGTTTCTTTTTTTGTTAGCTTTCCTGTTTTTATTCGTGTTAGCTTTTCTGTTTTTATTCATGTTAGCTTCCCTGGTTATTTTTTCATGTTAGCTTCCATGTTTTTATTCATGTTAGCTTCCCTGGTTATTTTTTCATGTTAGCTTCCATGCTTTTATTCATGTTAGCTTCCCTGGTTATTTTTTCATGTTAGCTTCCATGTTTTTATTCATGTTAGCTTCCCTGGTTATTTTTTCATGTTAGCTTCCCTATGTTTTTTTTCATGTTAAGTTCCCTTTTTATATGCCCACTAAGTATTGTTAGATCGGTTAGAGAGCTACATGTATCAGCCTGTCATTAGTTTAGTCATGCCCATATTTTCAATAGTGGACTAATGCTAATCATAGCTTTAATCTCTGATTTTCTGACCAGTCATATTCTGGAAAGTTGACTCAATTTTACCATAAAATGTGATATTCTGGAAGTTTAACTAAATCACCTAAAAAATTTAGTCATCCAAGGCAGTAGTTTAAGGAATAAGCGCATGTATATGCCATTATGATGCATTCAATGTTTATATAGAAATGGATATTTTTCATTGATTTCAGACAAATTGTTCTTACGTTGTGCCCCAAAATCAACACATTCACATTCACCGTAAATTTTGTTTGAAAATATTTATAAGATATTATACAGTCTCTCTAATATATGAACATGTAATATTTTATTAACTGAAAATAATAAACTACAAGGTACAAATAAATTTTATAAATGTTAAATAACGTTTTAACAAAGCAATTACAAAGAGACAAATCAACCTCTTAGTACAAAAAGGAACTATAGCCACAAGCCCATACACACTATCAAACACCCACAAACCCAACCATGCTATCTACACAACATATACAACCACTCACACACACAGCACACAGACTACAGCTATTCACACACACAGATAAATCACTTACCATATATACCAGTACTTATTATACCATTTGAGCGACTATTTTAGCAATAATATACAGGAGACTTAATTATGAAATAGATGGTAATCAAAGCCTTTACCACTCACAGACCCTTTGGGACAGTTTACAAATCTTAGCAGACCCCCAAATCTGTATTCAGATTTTACATATTAGGACTCATAGCATGTGCCACAACTTTTCACATTAATCGTTGAAAAAACATAAAATGGGCCATCTTACTCTGTAAGTTATGAAAAAAATATGCTTGAAACTACATTTATTTTGAAATGAAATGAAATAGGATTTAACGTCCTTATCTCCATCGACTGGGTTAATGGTGACAGGCATACGCCATACAATTAGCTATGGGAGTATTTTAGCCTGGACAGCAGCAGTACGTACTAGGTTATTCTTATTTTGAATTCATACTGTAAAGGTTTTTTTATGTACATGCATCAGACATTGAAAGTTTTGTATTATGTATGATAAAACACTCTTCACAGGCGTCTTCATGGGTGCCACCATTTTTAATCCGGGAACTTGAAAGTAGTTCCAATGGCAGTGTTCATTCTGACAAAGACATAAAACTCCATTGCAATCTATAATTATGTTATATCATTTCAAAATTGCCACCTGCTTATCAAAAATTCTTTGCGTATGGGATTTCCTTGAATCTTACTGTCAATTCTGTCTGAGTTGTATATGTTATTTAAAATGTCATCATCGTGCACCAATTTAATTTCAACATACAGACTAAATTGTAAAATATAGATAATTAAACAATGGAATGAAATATGGCTTAACATCCTACTTTTCTGCACCAACTGGGTTAATGAAGACGGGCATACACCATACAGTGTGCTATGAGGGAAATTTTGTCCAGGCAGCAGTGCTACTGCCTACTCTTAATTCAGATTCCAATTCTCAAGCATATTCCTTGGATGGACAGTATCTTTGTCCTCAGATTTAGCACATATCCAACATAGCACACATGATATAACTACAATCGAAAATGTTTCTCTGAACCATTATTAAGAATCGACCAAATGGGAACCGCTCTTTAAAACTGTACTTGGAAAATTATTTTAAGTAATGAAGCTAAGTCTATCGACCAAATGGGAACCGCTCTTTAAAACTGTACTTGGAAAATTCTTTTAAGTAATGAAGCTAAGTCTACAAGAGGCACTTAAATTATTAAAAAAACGTCCAATGTGTTTATTGCCAGTCTTTTTATTTAGTTCATTTCTTCTTACTAGCTTCAGCTAAGCAACAAACTTGTCATGATTAATTAATAGAATATAAATGTTATTTTGGTAGAACCAGAGAGAAATCAATATTATATTGAAAGGCTGACAATGTTTGTATTTGGTCTATACAATGTTTTTTCATCTGTCGTCCAAGTGATTGATAAAATAAAACTGTTTCATCAACAAATGTAGACTGACCATTTCCATTTTTCAATGCTTCAATGTTTGCTTAAGACATGATTTTGTAATTGAAATGTAGAGATGAACATGTAGGTATGTCTAATATCAAATATTTAAATCATGTTTAATATCAAACATTTAAATCAATGTTCAGTATCTAAATTAGCTCACAATCTACCAACACATTCAACACTGTAACCCAGGTATCATTTAATCTTGTGTATCTAGCACTAATTTCGTTCACATTCGTTTAATATCAAATCTTTGTTTAAAAATTCGTAAAAATAGTTTAAAATCACCAAAAATCATCTAATTTGTACTTTTGGCAGTTTAAAGCTGACCATCCAATTTTGATAATGAGTGATTGAGAAATTAAACACTTGTAAATTGGACACTCATTATCAAAATTGAATGGTCAGCTTTAATCTTGACAGAAGTACAAATTAAACGATTTATGGTGATTTTAAACAGTTTTTATGAATTTTTAAACAAAGATTGGATATTAAACGAGGGACATGTTGAAAAATTAGAACTCATGTACTAAATATGTTCCCTCAGAAAATAAAATTAAATCCATGTTCCAAATCAAACATTTTGATTATGCCCAAATCATACCTAATATCAAACATTGAATCATGTCTAATATCAAACATTTGACTCATGCCTAATATCAAACATTGAATCATGCCTTGTATCAAACATTGAATCATGCTTTATATCAAACATTGAATCATACCAAGTATAAAAAAGTTACTGTATATAAAACATGCCTCTAAAATTTGAAGTATGCCTAATATTAGACTTCATTAAAATCATGCCTAGTATGAAACATTTAAATAATGCCTAATATCAGACATTGAATCATGCTTAATTAAGTAGGAAAATCGTTGACTGTATTCTATTACTGTTTGTAGATTTTGGTACATCTTGGTCTCCTTTCAAAACAATCTGGTTGGAAATTTGCAGAAAATCAGTTTAAAGGTGAGTGATTAGTAGTATAATTAATCAACAATATGTGTTTGTCTGGTTATTCAAGCAGAGAGTATATACATGTATCCATTAGCTACATTATCAATATACCAGACGCTTGGGACACTATTTTCAGATAGGCTTACCTTATGAATATGTAAAAAAAATTATCGATTTGGTGGTTTACAGCCTATTTGCCTTTAAAAATGCCTTGATTTTTATTTCCCAAAAAACACAAAAGCAGAAACTTGAGATAGTTGCTATTTAGCTTTGTTTTATTTAAATCAATAAATTACACTCACCTTTTTCTGAAAGTGAATGTTGCTGTGTATACTTACTTAAAGTTACATGTATAAAGTTGGACATTCTATCTAGCTTCTCCACCTATTTAAAGACAGTCGATTTTTTTTTTTTCAAATACAGCATATGTTAAGGAAACAAGACTACCGGTAATACAATTTTAAACCACCATATTATTATACGCCCACATTTAAATGTGGTCGTATATTAATATTGTCGTCGCCCCCATCTGTCCGTCGTTCCGGCGTCCACAATTGCTTGTGGACGCTCTAAAGGCTAAAGTTAATATCCGATTGACTTTAAATTTATACACAGTGTTTAAGGTCTTGAGACGAAGAAGCCTATTGATTTTCAGCGATTTCCGATAATTACTGCCAGAGTTATGGCCCTTGATCACTTCAAAAAATCATTGACTTTCAATTTATACACAGTGTTTAAGGTCATGAGACGAAGAAGCCTTTTGATTTTCAGCGATTTCCAATAATTACTGCTAGAGTTATGGGCCTTGATCACTTTGAAAAATCTTGTGGACGCTCAAGAGGCCAAAGTTAATATCCGATTGACTTTAAATTTATAATCAGATTTTAGTGTATTATAAATGTTTCCTTACGAAAATTAAAAATATGTGACAATTCTTGTTGACTGCCCGGACAATTTAGCTGCTGTGGGCGTATGTTTCGTTGCCTCGCAACCTATCTTTGTCTAAAATCATCATGATCTACATGTACAAGATTTAAACACAATGCTTGATAAAGACAAGAGGATCATCGTTGAAACGTTGCATGTTAATAAACCATTAAACAGGCATTATGCAAGAGCTAAATCTATCTATTGCAGGTCTTTCCTTTAGGCCTTAAATATTATATAAACTATTAATTAGACATTTATTAACATAAGATTGTAATCAAGTCTTGATGCCATCAGATGATTGAATTTAAAAATGGTGAAGCTAGGCTAAGTCTCGAACAACCAATACAATGGTTACAATAAGTGCACATAATCTTGTCAGACCTTCAAAGGCTGATATCTTTGCTCAGAATAAAGTAATTTGAATGAAATTATCAGTACATTCATTTTGCATTATCTATTTTTGAACTATTATAGCAAGAATGGCCAACTTTTTATCAAAATCTTACAATGTATCTTTAATTGTTATTCCATAAATACTTTTAGTGTGTTACTGTTCAATTTCTCAAAGAAGTAATAAATGTTGTTTTTTTCCTTAGCAGGATCTAAATTTTGTAACTAATCCTAGCCAACTGTTATTAGCTCTGTTCATAAAACACAATAAATGCACTTGGGTCAATGCCAAATATAAAAACAAATTTCTTTTATATTGATACAGTGGATCAATTGTGTGGAATACACTTCCAGAAACAGTGATTCTGTGTCAATTTTTAAAGCCAAAGTGAAAACCTGGTTATTTAGTCACTATCATTAACAATCCAAAATGACAACATTTTCTAGCGCCTAGAGCATTCCCTAGTATTATTAGATAAATCAATAATATTGAATATATGTGAAATGGTTGTAAGGGATACTAACATGGTTTTGACAGAAGCAAATTTTCTAACTCTTCATATCTTTAAAATAACTTTTTTTTTTTTTTTGCGATCTTTTAGGTGGACCATTAGGAGAATTAGTGCAATGGAGTGATTTGATTTCTACGTTGTATCTATTGGGCCATGATTTAACTATAACCAGTGAAGTGGAACAATTAGTAGAGTAAGTACAATTACACTAAAACTCCATTAGTGATTAAAAGCTTAAAAGGAAAGTTCAATGTTTGAGTGACTTTACTGTTGTGATGATCCCTACCACTATACATGTAATTATGGTGTGTGTGTGTAAACGTGGTTATAAGATATGGTTACTATGTAGAATTTGATATGACTAGGATAAAGACCACTTGACTCCATGACAGACCGTGTGATTTCACGTGCACGTATTAACTATTTGACCACCCAACCCCCTGACAAGAATCTTTCATCCCAAATTAACCTGTGTTCTTATCTAGAATGTATCTGGTACTGTTCCTTTAAAATTACCTGTTGATTAATGATGATTACGACTTGATGTCATACTGTAGTGAAAACAAATAAAACTAGAACTAAGGAGTACTGACATGTTTCGGGATGTCACGTCATGTCACGTCACATCATGCTTTGTCACATCATCATTCAAGTTACACCTTAGATTATTGAGTATTTTTTTGTTGACTAGAAGGCAAAGATATATTATATTTCTTTTTTTTATACACATTGTCCATCTATCCCAGGGGTCACCAAACTACGGCCTGGCCCACCGTTGCATGCTGAAAAAAAGAACCCCATGCTTTAGCTTCTTACACTTCTTACATAACACATATTGTACACAGAGTCAGTAACATCACGCGCTATGGCTTACTTTTTATGCGATTCAATTATGTGATATAACTGTCTTATTACATCCTAAACTTTGTATAAATGTATTTCCCTAATAGCACATTAACCCAGTTTAGGAGCAGAACAGTAGGATTCATTTCATTTTATTTCATTTGTATAAATATTCTAACTTGGTGCTATTTTGGTAAGATTAAAATATTTTATTATTTTTTTATTATTTTGTGTATTTCATGTATTGATAAATAGATAGAATGATTATCCTTATTTTTTGTGTACCTTCTGTGTATTCTGTATTCGGTGTATTGTATTGAGCCCGTGCTCGACATTCTGTCAGTTATATCTGACCCACTATATAAAAGTTTGGTGATCCCTGATCTACCCGGAACAGCCCGGAATATTGTGAAAATAATTATAGAGATGCTGTTTTGGGTTAACAAATATGGCGTCGATGACTTAACCAAAATGACGTCATGCTGCCTCCACGTCATTAAAGCTTCTTGGGTTCCAGCTCAACTGTACATGTATAAACATTGCTATTTTGACAAATTTACAAATTGACCCATATATCTATACATTGTTTCAAACACATGTAGCCTAGAACGTTTTGATATTCTGCTTGAATTTCTTTTTTTGTTATGGTATTTATGATATTATTGATTGTTAAAACAATAGGAATGTATTTATAGCTAAAACACGGTCTATGGTTTTATTATCAAAGATGTTAATAGAGGGTTAATTGTTGAATATGGATTACTTATTAAATATACATAATGGGAGATTAGATAAAGAGCTGGCAATTCTCACAATAATAGTTAAATTGATCCACTCTGAACCAAGATTTTAGCGATTGAATTTTCGGCCTAGCCTCGATCATACTAAAAAAGATAGTCTCGATTATACATTTCATGGTTAAATCTTGAATGGAAGTCGAACAGCAAATCGGAACTTAATCCAATAAACATCGCAGGCTAGGGATAACATCGAGAGTTGATTATGGTCTGGATATGTTAATTAATGTCTAATTAATAATTTAGTTAACATTTAAGGTCTAAAGAAAGACCTGCAATAGGCAGATTTAACTCTTGCATAATGTATGTTTAATCAATCGTAATAATGAATATAAAATTTGTCGTTGATATGAGACATGAGCCATAAAGAAGTGTAGGAAGGAAGACGAGGATATTAATTTGTCATGAGACAATGACTTACATGTAGCATACATATTCTGGTACAGGATATTTATTGTACTCTACATAATCAAAAGCATAAAATTACCCCAAAATAGGTCACCTAAGACAAAATGAAATTTTTAAACTTGACACTTTAATTGTATGCCAGAATAATTTCGAGCACCATTTGTAATAAAGTGACTCAATGAACATATCCAACAGGAGAATTGTACTGCTCGTGTAGAGTGAAATAAAAGTAGGACGTAGTGTTGCAGTCCGATTTTACTAGCCCAGCTCGAGCAGAACACTAGGACGTTAAACAATGAGTATACATTCCCCAATAACACAGCTAAATCATCCTTTTGACTTCAAATGTCATATTATTTATTATTTAGACATTTATTCACGTGACAAGACTATAATCAACTCTCTAGAGCATCGGATGGCGAAGATTTAAAAGGATTAATGATTTAATTTTAAAAGAGCGAAATTAGGGCTAGGTCTCAAATAACTAGTATCATGGTTACAATCATAAACAATATGCTACATCATCTCAAAACTACAAACAGTAATAACTTCGCTCAGAATAAAGTAATTTGAATGATATTGTCAATATATTCATTATCTATTATAGCAAGAAAGGCCATCTCTTTATCTAAATCTTATATAATTTATAATGCATCTTTAACAGAGTTTAGTACCAGTATATTCCTTAATAACACACTGTGAATACATATAATTATATACTGGATTCCTCAATAACACTGTGAATATATATATTTATATACTGGATTCCTAGATAATGTAAAGGGAATTTGCTGAAAATTTCAGTCAAATTGATCCACTTTGAACCAAGTTTTTAGCGATTGAATTTTGGGCCTAGCCTTGATCATCATTACTTAAGTCGGTACAATAAAAAACATAGTCTTGATTATCCATTTCATGATTAAATCATGAATGAAAGTTTTAATCCAATAAGCGTCGCAGGCTAGCGTTGACATCGAGAGTTGATTATGAGCTGGATAAGTTAATTGATGTCTTAATTAATAATTTAGATAACATTTCAGGCCTAAAGAAAGAACTGCAATAGGCAGATTTAGCTCTTGCATTATGTATGTTTGATAATATAATAACTAAGCATTGTGAATAAAGGAATAAGATCAGTCTGAATAAAATACAGATCCTATTTCGTTTCGTTTTTTATAGTACAAAATTTGTTTTATTTGTCTGTACTACACTAGGATCTGGATTCTGGAAGAGTTGTTATATAACCTGTGTTCTGGATAGTGTGAGGGATTAGCCAATGAAACCATCTGTTACGGCGACATCAACGCTGATTGAATAATCAATGACCGACGTCATAGTGTCAAAAGCCGTTAATACGAACTCTGACGCGACCTGCCCGTCTTCATTAGCCCAGTTCGGAGCAGAACAGTAGGACGTTAAACCCCATTTCATTTCATTTCATTTCTGACGCGACCTTTTACTACAACCAGTCAGATCTTCATGTTGTGTAGGCCATCAAAAAATGCAACGAAATATAGATCTGTATTTTAATCAGATTGGAATAAGATGAAAGAGCCAAGAGATAAAAGAGTTTTCTTTTGGGGTTGATATTTTAAAGGTAGCATTTTGTAGTTAGGTACTTCTGTAAAGATAGGAGCTTATGTGGCTCTGTAAGTACATGTATGATGTTGGCTCGCTAACCAGGAAATCTCCGATATGCTGCCGGTGTAGGCCAAGAAGTTTTGATTCCCCGGTTGTGCATGACAAGGAGTAGGGTCGCCTGTCCAACCTCGTGGGGTTTCTCCAGGTCCTCCGGTTTCCTCCCACTGCTAAAGACCCCTACGCGCAAGCGAATTATTGAAATAAAATTGAAGCATGTGTTAGTCCTGAAATGACCTGGTTTGTGTCGAGTGGAGGTTAAACCCCATCTCTCTCTCTCTTCCTCTCTCTCTCTCAAATGAATCCATGGTGTGAGCCGGCCATAACCAAATTTCCATGCTTGATTTATTCTGCGTCATTGAAGTGAATGCATCTCAACAAAAAGATAAAGAATAATATCTGGTTTATAATGTTCCCAGTATTTATAAAATCTATTGTTTATTTTTTGTGTTAATCAATTATCCATCTATTATTAAAGTATCGTATTTATTGTTATCTGGTTTATAATTCTTTTATTTCAGGATATTGTCACACCTACCTGCTGCCAAATCACCATGCCAAAGTAGAAAAGAACTTCCAGTTCATATTATCTATACAGATATTGTTGGTCTTACACAGTTTAAAAAACGAGTGAAGGGAGGTTACGGGAAATTTAGGTACCCTTTTTTTATATATGCCCACATTTCAATGTGAGAGTACTATGTCGTACTATGTCCGACCGTCAACAAAATCAATGTTTGAAATAAAAAAAAGTACATTAGGTGAAAGCTAAATGAGAGGCTAAATGCCACCAGCAATTTATTTTCACACAAGCCAAGTGGCTTTACTGATTATAAATTCACAACAAGTAAAATCGCTCACATATATCACATTATTGATGGGTTGGATGGCCGAATGGTTACCATGTGCGCGCTGTATCATACGATCTGTCATTGAGTCAACTGGCGTGGTTCCGATCCCTGGTTGTACGTGACAAGGAGTAGGGTCGCCTGTCCATCCTCGAGGGTTTTCTCTGTGTCCTCCGGTTTCCTCCCACTGCTAAAGACCCCTACGTGCAAGCCAATCATTGAAGTACAATTGAACCATGTGTTAGTCCCAAAATGACCTGGTTTGTGTCGAGTGGACATTAAACTCTCTCTCTCTGTCTGTCTCTGTTGTTATGTGCTTAAATAAACCTTTATGGACTGGCTGGTAAGAAAATATTAACAAAAATATTATTGATTTTATATTACTAAAACACATAAAGATACTAAGAAATCAAATAAATTAAATACGCTCGTATTATTGATTTTATATTACTAAAACATATAAAGATACTAAGAAATCAAATAAATTAAATACGCTCGTATTATTGATTTTATATTACTAAAACATATAAAGATACTAAGAAATCAATTAAATGAAATATGCACATAATTTTGGGTCAAAATGACTTGTTAGATAGAATAAATGGTACCTTAAATAATGATCGTCTGAAACTCTATACCTTTATTCTGGTTTCAACATTATTATTTCATACTGTTTAACAACAGTTTTTCTAATGCTTTCAATACATGGCAATCCGAAGGTCTAGAGTGTTGATTATGTGAATAAATGTCTAATAATTCGTATAACATTTGAAGCTAAAAGCCAGACCTGCAATAAATAGGCAGGGTTAGCTTTTGCATAATGAATCTTTAATTAGTAAAATTCTTATTGTCGTTTTTTTTTTTTTTCTTCAGTTGCCTGTTCAGAATATTGGATAGTTTTGGAACAGAGCCAGCCTTTAATCATCGTAATTTTGCCAAGCAAAATAAAATCTTAACATCATGGGGAGGACAAGATTTATTGCCCAGACAGTTCTTTACAATGTTTCGTAAGTTAAACAATTATTAAATATCCAGATGGTTATTAATTTCTTAAATAAATTTAAAAAGCAGTTAATAAAAATGTCTTGAAATATATGAATTAATGCCAGAGAAAAATCCCAAATAGCTTGCCTGAAAATATTTACTTGAATATTGAGCTGTTTGGAAGTGATAGCTAGATTTGCTTATCAGGGTTCCTTACCTTTATCTTGTGGTGGTCGAGATGGCCTATAGTGGTCTAGAGTATCATGCTTCAAGCAATAGCTGGTGTGAGTGTATGTGCCTTCTCAGCCTCAGGAAAGGCGCTTGCACCATGGACCTTATAATACATATTAAAAAAAAAGAACTTGTCAACAATATCATGTGGAAGCAGGCATTAAACACTAATAGAGGAGGAAGAAATCTATTATAAAAGTCTTTTGATACATGTGGTATAAAAGTATTTTGATACATTTATGATAAATGTATTCTTTATTTTGATACATGTATTATGAAAATAGTCTTTATTTTAATACATGTATTATAAAAATAGTCTTTATTGTCCCCCGCCTTTCGAAGAAAGCATGGAACTATTAAAATGAGTTCGTCCGTCTGTACGTCCGCCCATCTGTCTGTCTGTCACACTTTTTGGGACACAATAACTCTCTTTCTAATTGAGCTAGAATGTTCAAACTTGGTGTAGGTGTTTATTTGGTCAATGCCTTGATGGAGTTCAAAGATGAGCATTTTCTGCTTAGGGTAAGCAGAGATAAGCAATTTGATTGGTTGATGCTTTGGGATAGATAACTTTAGTTCTAATTAAGTGAGAATGAGGACACTTGGTGTATAGCTTTATTACATCAATACCTTGACTAAGTTCGATAATGAACTTTTTCTGCTGAGCGTAAGCAGAGCGATAAGCAATTTGATTGGTTGAGACTTTGGACAATAACTCTCCTTCTAATTGAGCCTCACTGTTAGCTTGTGTAGTTACATGTATTATAAAAATAGTCTTTATCTTTATTTAGATAAATGTATTATATTTATAAAAGTATTTTTACTTCGATACATGTATTAGAATGTATTTTTTATACATGTATGTTTATTTTTGATACATGTATGTTTATTTTTGATTCATGTATTATAGAATAGTGTAATTTATTTTGATACATTTTATAATGATCTTTAATTTGATAACAATCTTTATTTTACAGCTCATAGTCCCGATAATTCTTTTATGGGTTTTGTTGTTGAACAACATTTAAATAATTCAAATGTACGCTCTACAGACCGTAAACAACAAGCTGTTGTCTATGGTAAAAATGACTATATGTGGAAAGTAAGTTTATTGTCTTAATCCCCTTTTCTCTCCTTATTCGTTCTGAAAGTAGATCGTAAGCTAGTTGACAAAATAAACCTTCTGAAATTGTGACCAATTAGTTGTGACCAAAACAAAGTCTCACAAATTGGAATAAAAACTTCCTGAATTATCATCACATTTACACTTTTATAAACAAACAAGCGGTTGCCATACACGATACACCGAGATGGACGGGGATCTGGGAAAATCGATAGGGCTCACCCTCACATTGTTCCAGTGCCTCACATCGAATATGAACCTGTAGCCTATATCGTGTTCACAAGGTTTTTGGAAAAGTTTGGTAACTCAGAATATCACAAACCGTGAATATCGATAGAATTTGTCGTCTCATGACCCCAATGGTTCACACCAAATTTGGAGAAAAAAACATGGTTGAAATGATAGCCTCTATCGGTTCCACAAGGTTTTCGTGGGGGCTTAACTCCGGAACTGAATGTTGCGGAATGCTGATTATCGATAGGAATCATTCTCTGATGTTCCCAATTCATCATACTAGAAAGCTCACAACCTTTGTTACTCTGAGTATGCAAGGCCATAACCCAAGCAGTTACAGTTGATACAAATTGTCTGCGGACGATTTGTCCTCAGGGACGAATTTTCCTAGAGCCGATCCACAAGGATACATACTATCTTTTCAAAGCATGGATTTATGATTTTTCATTTCGACTTCAAGACAGGTCCATTAAAATAGGCCTTGCCATGTTTTGATTACCTACAAGATGACATGGTAGTTACATCATGGGTTCGAATCATTGAAATTGAGCAGAAACAAGAATGCTGTCGGCTCTAGGACAATTTGTCCCTGAACAATTCGTCCCCAGACAACTGAATTAATCTTTGGGTGACCAAATGGTTTAACAAGTACTCTTTAGATCATAGGGTCTGTAAAGTACCCTACATGCAAGTGAATGATTGAAATTAAATTGAACCATGTGTTAGTTCTGAAATAACTTAGTTTGTTTCTCTCTCTCTCTTAATTCTCCCTATTTTCGGTGTTAATCCTTCCGTCTGCATGATGTCCAAGGATATATTCAGATACATGTGAAAATTACCAAAAAATCGAGAAATGTCGATTAGTTAATAGCTGCACCAGATTTACATATTTATCTGTATTTTTATAGGGAAAAGAGAAGTATTTAGATGTTATTAAAGATTTTGTTGAAATTCATGGAACAGTAGCAGGTGATAAACATGAAAATGTTCCTAAATATGTGATAAATCATGGAATATTAAATGGAGCTGATCTTCATAAATTATTATCTGAATCCAAGGTTTGTTGAAATTATGACTATTTTTTTCTGTAGTAATCTATACTATTGCTGAGGGTGGGGTAGTCAAATGGTGTAACATACACTCTTTAGATCATTGGATCTGTCATTGAGTTATGTGGCGTGGTTTGGTGGCCGAATGGTTAGCACGTGCGTGCTGTATCATACGGCCTGTCATTGAGTCAACTGGCGTGGTTTCGAATCCCCAATTGTACGTGACAAGGAGTAGGGTCGCCTGTCCAACCTCGTGGGTTTTCTCCGGGTCCTCCGGTTTCCTCCCACTGCTAAAGACCCCTACGCGCAAGCGAATTAATGAATTAAAATTAAACCATATGTTCGTCCCGAAATGACCATTGTTTCCAATACTTGACCCCAAACAATAGGGTCAGTGGATCAGAAAATCTTTTTATTTTTAATTTCTCTTTCCGTTGTGGTTTGTATTATCCATTTCCTAGTATTTCTAGTTTGATTACTGTGTAAGGTTCTTGAAAATAAACCAAAATGTGTTGGAATTTGTCTAGAGAAAATAGGGCCTGGGGAAATGGGAGCAAAAAAGTTTAGGTTCACCGATTTTGGCTTAAAATAATAGGGTGTGTCGGGTATTAAGAAACACATGTATTTTTTATTTTGGCCTAATAGAACTAAACTGTTAAACTCTTTAACTCATTTTAAAATTACGTGTACTCACATGTTCATATTACTTACTATGGGGTGACACGAATCTATCAGAAGCAAAGAATACTTATATTATAGTTATTACTTATATTACATCAATCAAACAATATATCTAATTATAATTTATATGTATATAGGAGTTACAACATTCTGATTAAAATAGAGATCTATATTTTGTTTCGTTTTTTGTACGCCCACATTGAAATGTGGTCGTATATTGTCGTCGCCGTCCGGCCTCCACAATTGCTTGTGGACGCTCTAGAGGCTAAAGTTAATATCCGATTGACTTTAAATTTATATACAGTGTTTAAGGCCATGAGACAAAGAAGCCTATTGATTTTGAGCGATTTCCGATAATTACTGCCAGAGTTATGGCCCTTGATCACTTCAAAAAATCTTGTGGACGCTCTAGAGGCCAAAGTTAATATCCAATTGACTTTAAATTTATACACAGTGTTTAAGGTCATGAGACAAGGAATCCTATTGATTTTCAGCAATTTACGATAATTACTGCCAGAGTTATGGCCCTTGATCATTTTGAAAAATCTTGTGGACGCTCTAGAGTCTAAAGTTAATATCCGATTGACTTTGAATTTTATACACAGTCTATTCATTTTCAGTGATTTTCGATAATTACTGCCAGAGTTATGGCCCTTGATCACTTCAAAAAACCTTGTGGATGCTCTAAAGGCTAAAGTTAATATCTGATTGACTTTAAATTTATACACAGTGTTTGAGGTCACAAGGCGAATAAACCTATTGATTTTCAAAGATTTTTGATAATTACTGCCCAAAGTTATGGCCCTTGATCACTTGGAAAATCTGGTGGACGCTCTAGAGGCCAAAGTTAATATCCGATTGGCTTCAGATTGAGATTAAGATCTTGAGACGAACAAGTATATTGATTTTCAATGAATTTTTATGACTTGGAACAGCTAAATCCATGATACAGTATTAAAAGTTTTGTATACAAACCGTTAGCATGGGGCAGAACTTTATAAAAACCAAACAAATTCTAATGGTTTTCTGAGTTGTTTCTTTTAATCAGATTTTAGTGTATTATAAATGTTTCATTACCGAAAAAAGTAAAAATATGCGACAACTCTTGTTGACTGCCCGGACGATTTAGCTGCTGTGGGCGTATGTTTCGTTGCCTGGCAACCTATCTTTTATACTTTCGATGACCTACACTGCATGAAGATCTGACCAGTTGTAGTGGGAGGTCGCGTCAGGACTCGTAAGGACGGCTTTTGACCCTATGACGTCAGACATTGATTAATCAATCAGATTGACGTTTCAAGTGGTTTAGCCACAGTTCCGTGCATCGAATGCCAAGGAGTCGCAGTAACACATGGTTTCATTGGCTAATCCCTCGTGCCATCCAGAATGCAGGTTATATAAAACAACTCTTCCAGATTTTAGTGTAGTACAGACAAATAAAACAAAATTTTGAACTATAAAAAACGAAACAAAATAGGATCTGTGTTTTAACCTGATTGGAGTTCCTGAGTACTCTTTTGTATTTGTATAATGTGTATGTGTGTTTTGTTCTTTATTTTGTACACGTAAATGTGTTTAGATCATATTCCACCATTTTATATTTATTATCTGTTGAAATATTCTATGTTAGTAGGAAGCCGCAGTGGCTCAGTGAGTAAGCTGCTGGCTCGCTAACCTGAAGGTCTCAGGTTTGCTCCGGGTGTTTGCCGAGAAAGACCCTCAGGATTTTCCGGCATTGTTTCCCCTTGTCAGTTGTACTGGACGGATGGGACAAAAAACCTAAGTCCGGTGTATGACTGCACGTAAAATACCCATGACAGTTGGAATTTGAAAAAAGAGTAGGCTGTGAAACTGTATGGTGTATGCCTGTCTTCATTAGACCTGTCTGTGCAGAAAAGTTGGACTTAAAAAATAAAATGGGGTTTAAAGTCCAACATTCAATCATTTGAAACATTCTTATCAATTAATATTTTATGAAGACAAAGCATTTATAGTTTGTTAGAACTTTTGTATAATCTGTTTATATTGTACAATTTAATATTAATGCATTAGAACAATTTAATATTAATGCATTAGAATTAGTATAAACTAAATTAATCAATATTGCGTATTTCCCAAATGACAAGAGTAGGAAATTTAAGCTGTTAATCAATAAACACTTTGATTACTTTATTTCAGATATTTATAGGTCTTGGTTTCCCGTTTGAAGGTCCAGCACCATTAGAAGCTATAGCCAATGGTGCCATCTATATAAATCCAAAATTCATTCCTCCTATAAATAATAAAAATTCCCCATTCTTCAAAGGCAAACCAACCCAGAGACAGGTGTGTTTCAATGTTTTTAATCATACTTAATATATCACCTTCAGCTTTGTACTTTGAAAAACTACAAGTTGACTTTTTAGAGCTTCTGTAACTTGAAAAGTTAAAGTAGAGACTAGAGAGTTTACATGTTCATAATACAGTGGACTCTGTCACTTCCGACATCTGAATACTACGGCTTTCTGTGAAATCCATCATCATTTTCATGTCCTGATTTATTTCCTTATTACTTAAACCAAAAAAGTTTTGAGTGTTCTAGATTCTGAATATTTCGAATTACGACATCAATCAGCGGTCCCTTCACACAATTTACGTACAGTTAACATCGGATAATCCGGCCTTCAATCAGTGGGTGTTAACCGACAAGCAATCACCAATCAATTATCTGTGTTGGTCTTTTTTGATTACCTTGATAATTTTATAATTTGTTGAAAAATTCAATTGGCCGTACTCCATTATCCGACGTTTTAAAGCGAAAAGATGAGTGGTTTAAGGGCGGGGACAAAGCACAACCTGTCAGTCAATTTGTCTGCCAATCAATTGGCCATACTCCATTATCCGACATTTTAAAGCGAAAAGATGAGTGGTTTAAGGGCGTGAATAAAGCACAACCTGTCAGTCGATTGGTCGGCCAATCGTAAGGCTTTGATGACAAGTGCTATTTAGTCAACGAATATATATTTAAATTAAATTGTTATGCAATTGTTAGATATAATATAATAAAATTTTGAATATACAGAAAGCTTTTTCATATTTTAAGTTCTGTGTATTCGAGGCTTCATTATAATAAAATTTCCGGTATTCAAAGGTACAATAATACTTCCGACATAATTGAGTATTCCGACATGCTGTCTAATCCGGCATATTGTATCGATCCTATACGATGTCAGAATGGACAGAGTCCACTGTATATTCACTGTTATTATCCCAGTATACTCTACAAATAGAAGTAACAAACTGGTTTTTCTTTCAGGTTAAGGATGTGTGTCGGTACATACTATACTAAATTCATTGAATTATTAATCGGGGAAAATATTTGCTAATGTAGTTTCAGAGTTATACAATTATTGATATACACACATTAAAGATACATTATGGGAGATTAGATAAAGAGCTGGCAGTTCTCACTATAATAGTTAAAAACTAGATAATGTAAAGGCAATTTGCTGAGAATTTCTGTCAGATTGACCCACTCTGAACCGAGAATTTAGCGATTGAATTTGCGGCCTAGCCTTGATCATCATTACTAAAGTCGGTACGATAAAAAAACATAGTCTTGATTATCCAATTTTTGGAATTAATCATGAATGAGTGTTGAACAGCAGATTGGATTATAATCCGGTAAATATCGTAGGCTTGCGATGACATCGAGAGTTGATTATGGTCTGAATAAGTTAATTAATGTTTAATTAATAATGTAGATAACATTTCAGGCCTAAAGAAAGACCTGCAATAGCCAGATTTAGCTCTTGCATAATGTATGTTTAATATATTCATACCCACTCTGTAGATTTAATTTGTTTAAGTAGCAATTAGTAACTGAATGAGAATAACACATGACACAATTATATGGAATACAAATTACTTTAAAGATTATTTCTGGCGATGTTTTGACAAGGGTTTTCTCCTCTTTATTAAACATACATTATGCAAGAGCTAAATCTGTCTATTGCAGGTCTTTCTTTAGGCCTGAAATGTTATCTAAATTATTAATTAAACATTAATTAACCTATCCAGACCATAATCAACTCTAGATGGCATCGCTAGCCTGCGATCTTTAGTGGATTATTAGCCGATTTACTGCATAACTTTCCTTCACGATCGTACTTTATCGTACTTAGTCTGTTGGGTTATGTATATTGAATTTTTTATTGATAACTGCTTGGCACCGTATACCAGTGTTTATACACGAAGCTTGATCACTTCAAAATATCTTGTGGATGCTCTGAGGCAAAATATAATATTCGATTGACGGACGGACGGGGGCGACGACAATATACGACCACATTCCAATGTGAGTTTATAAAAACATTGTGATTGTTTATACTCCGATGAATTTGTTGTTAATCTTGTGTATCATATGGCTACTAAATGTGACGTCATCAAGAGAGGATAGGTCATGGTTACCATGGCAACCGTATTTAAAATAGTATCTAGGTATAGTATGGATAGTCTCAGGGTACTACAAATGTTTTTTTCAACCGAGGAGCATAAAAAAAAACGTGATTACCAAAACAAAATGTCTTTCTTCACGGCTAAAACATTGAAATTGATGGTTGCCAAGGCAACAGCTGTAACAGTCACTTTGGCTGAATTTAAAAAATGGCACCGACCAATTTCGAAAGTTTGGGTTATAACGAACATTTTGACGGTGCCAAGTGGTTACCATTTTTTTCTACAAAACTGATTTGAACTTCATAACCCTACAGACTAACTGACTTTAGTAATGATGATCGAGGCTAGGCGGAAATTTCAAATGTTTAGTTCTCGGTTCATAGTGGATCAATTTGAATGAAATTTTCAGCAAATTGCCTTTACATTATCTAGTTTTTAACTATTATAGTGAACACTGCCAACTCGTTATCGAATCTCCCATAATGTATCTTTAAGCAAAGAATAGGGCCATTGTAGGACAGTAGTCTAATAATGTCTTCTTAATGATCAAGTTATTATAACTGTCGGGCCATTTTCCGGTTCGCATAAACTTTAACAAAAACAAATATTTTAACTTGTATGTATCTTTCAGCTGACAAGCCAGCATCCATATGCTGAAGAATTTATTGGTGAGCCGCATGTATATACTGTATCTTTAGATAATTTAACTGAAGTTAAGGAAACTGTACAGAAGATATTAAATAAAAATGAGGTTAGTTTTATCATGGTATATCTTTATACAATCGAAATTGTATACACCTACGTTGTCATCTTCACTGTTCATCAGTCCGTTGATGCCCTAGAGGCTAAAGTTCACGTTCAATTGATATTTATAGAAAGTGTTCATGAGATGACAAAACCTATTGATTTCTGATAACTACTGTGGGAGTTCTACTTTTTATGCATTGTAAAGATTTCTTTTATGGCAGTATCCCCTGTTGGATTCTGTATTACAGGATACAGTGACTCTCCCCAAACCTTCCTTGAATGTGTGTGAGGTGTGAAAACATTGTTCAAAATTCTAATTTCATCCATAGTAAAGGCAACATATTGCCAATATGTGGTTGGCACTATCATTTATTCATTGAAATTACAAATTACCTTGCTATAGAATTCATTAGTAATTTTTATACGCCCACATGGAAATGAGGTTGTATATTGGCGTTGCCTCCATATCTCTGTCCGTCTGTCGTCTTGTGAACACTCTACAGATTACATTTATTATCTGATCTTTTTGAAATTTATATATGTTGTTTACTTTAGTGAGACAACTAAAGTAATCATCCAATCTGTATTTAATTTAAGAGCATTATTTAAATTAGTCAAATGAAGAAACCTATTGAGTTTCAGCAATTTTTGTTTATAACTTTCAGAATTATGGCCCATGTTTCACTTTGCTGAACCTTGTGAATTCCTTATCAACAAAAGTTATCGTTGGATCTGTATGAAATTTATATGCATTATTTTAATTAGTAAAACAAAGAAGCCTATTGGACAAGTGCTGAAATAAGCGTCCGGACACGGACAATGTCCGGGCGAATTGACCCCTTTTGACAGGCCAAATTGCCTTTCGTCCGGACATAATTGTCCGACCGTGTTTTTGTAAAACATTAAGTCAAAAATATTCAAGTCGATCGCTATTTATGGTGAACACTCTTTCGTAGTAACGACAGATCTACACACCAGAGCAGAATGATTGACAGCTGTCAGCCTTCACCTTGGAAATATCAAGGGAAATAATTTGAACAACTGGAGGCAAACCACATTATCTACTACATAAATGTTAAAACCCGTTTACCTGCTATTCAAGGCCATGAGTTTAAAGTAGAACAATAAACTAATATAGCCTTATTTATATCGCTAACTTTGACAATCTGTGTTTCATCCATAACGGCATTACCCCCCCCCCCCCCCCACACACACACACACACACTCACAAAAGTGACAAAGTCGAAAGAAAGAAATAAACATTCAATGTTTTTAATTTTTCTATATACCCCCCCCCCCCCCCTCCACACACACCATATTTATATCGTAGATTGGCTCTCACAGCAGGATTTTTTTTTATTTAGATTGGCCCCAAGACACGATTTTTTATTTAGATTCGTGTCACAGCAGGATTTTCTTCAATGATCCCAACAACAGGATTTTTCAGATCAGCGTACACAGCACGATTTTGTAAAGATTGCATGGTCCCGTCTATTTAAATTGTTATAATAATATTAGTATTTCTATGGCCCCAATGATTTTATATAGATTGCCCCTCACAGCAGACTTTTTATTCGGATTAGTCCCCACAACAGGAGTTTTCTTTAGATTATCCATCACATCGGGCCCCGAGTTCACAAAGCATTCTCAGACTTAAGTTAAGAATTTACTCCACTTACAATTACTGTTTATAAGAAATTCTTTGATCCAGAAACACAAAACTTTGCATAGTTTCTTATTCATGTATTTGATACATTAAAACAGCAAAGGTTTTATAAAGGGCTATATTTTAGTTAAAATAATTAAGGCGAACAATTTGGAGTAAATTCTGAACTTATGTCTGAGAATGCTTTTTTCAGTTTGGCTTTCACAGCAAGATCTTTCTTAAGATTGGTGCCCACACCATAATTCTCTATAGATTGCCCACCCCTCAAAGCAGGACTGATTTATATTGGTTCAGATTGGCCCTGATCACAGCAGGATGTTCAATAGATAATCTCTTAGATTGGTCCCAACAGTAAGATTTTCTATAGATTACTATTACAGCATATTTATTACCATTACAGCATATATTATTACAGCATATATACATAGTGCATCCTTTCATATACCGTGTTCAGGGGCACTTTACAAAGTGACAATGTAACCCCCCAAAAAAAGCAAAAAAAAGCAAAATTATGGACATAATTATCAGTTGTATACATGTACTGTGTCAGTTAAGTTAAAGCCTGTTGTTTAAATAAACGTGTTTATTAAACGAATGTAGAGATCAATATAAAGGTATAAAAATTGTTATAACGTCATTTAATTCACTTACTGGGGGCATGACGTCAAAACATATCGTTACGATGTACAGCATGCCGAGATCAAGCTGGCATACAATAAGCTACCATACAATAAGGGACAATCAAATCAGCATACAATAAGGAATTCTCTGGATGACCAAGACTTCAGTGAAATCACGTGCTCCGTATGGGCTAATCTAAGCCTTCGATAAATAAAATAAATTGAAAGTAGTCTATTTTTAGTAACTACGTCATTGTTTGATGGCGACAAATTTTTTGCTCAAAATAAAAAGGGGTTTATCTCTTCTAAAGTGTGTTATTTTGAATGTGCCAGAAAATAACAAGTATATTCAAAGAGCCATTGAAACTAACTTTCCGGTGATGTATGACACGATAACTGGAATTTCGTATTAAGACCTTTATTTTGACATTAACCACTCGCCACATCCCACCACTCGTATTCAGTTAGTCCAGGCTAGGTCTAACTAACTTTGATAATTTTTTAAAAAATAAGTATACATACATTGTGCCTAAAACAAATAAGGTATAAACTAAAGAAAGGATTGACTTTAATTCTCAGTATAGATATAATTATTTTGGATTAAGTCCCGCATTCTTACTTCAAATATCCCCCCGCCCTCCGGTTCCCTTCAACTTTAATCTTTTTTCAGGTATGCATATATAAGTGTGCCAGAAAATTATTTACAGATTTGAAAAGGCCAAGGAAAAAGGGACATACTTTTAAATGATGCGTACCAGAATTGCTGTAATTTCGTATTAAGACCCGTATTTTTACTTTAAATACCCCTACCCTCGTTATTTAATAGGGTTTGTACCACCCAACTTTGATCGTTTTTTAAGATAGGTAAATATGAATGTGCCAGAAAATTATTTATATATTTGAAGAGAGCAATGAACAAGCTTTTCAGTGATATGTAACATCATCACTGGAATTTCGTATTAAGACCCGTTTTTGAACATTAAATACCCCCCCACACACACACACACACATAATCATAGTAATAGCATCAGCCAAATTTGATCTTTTTGTAAGGTAAGTAAATATAAATGTGCCAGAAAATTATTTATATATTTGAAGAGAGCAATAAACAAGCTTTTCAGTGATATGTAACATCATTGCTGGAATTTCGTACTAAGTACCGTATTTTGGCATTGAATACCCCCCCCCCTTCATAATCATAGTAATAGAGTTTAGTACAACCAAAACTTGATCGTTTTTTAAGGTTTGTAAATATGAATGTGCCAGAAAATTATTTATATATTTGAAGAGAGCAATAAACAAGCTTTTCAGTGATATATAACATCATGGCGGGAATTTCGTACTAAGAACCGTATTTTGGCATTGAATACCCACCCCACCCCTCTTCATAATCATAGAAATAGAGTTTAGTACAACCAAAACTTGATCGTTTTTTAAGGTTTGTAAATATGAATGTGCCAGAAAATTATTTATATATTTGAAGAGAGCAATAAACAAGCTTTTCAGTGATATATAACATCATGGCTGGAATTTCGTACTAAGAACCGTATTTTGGCATTGAATACCCACCCCTCTTCATAATTATAGAAATAGAGTTTAGTACCACCCAACTTTGATCGTTTTTTTAAGGTAAGTAAATATGAATGTACCAGAAAATTATTTATATATTTGAAGAGAGCAATAAACAAGCTTTTCAGTGATATATAACATCATGGCTGGAATTTCGTACTAAGAACCGTATTTCGGCATTGAATACCCACCTTCCCCCCTTCATAATCATAGTAATAGAGTTTAGTACCACCCAACTTTGATCGTTTTTTAAGATAAGTAAATATGAATGTGCCAGAAAATTATTTATATATTTGAAGAGAGCAATTAACAAGCTTTTCTGTGATATATAACATCATGGCTGGAATTTCGTACTAAGAACAGTATTTTGGCATTGAATACCCACCCCTCCCCCCTTTTGATCCTTTTGTAAGATAAGTAAATATGGATGTGCCAGAAAATTATTTACATATCTAGAGAGAGCAATAAACAAACTTCTCAGTGATATGTAAACTTTATTACTATGATTATGAATGGGACGGGGGGGGGGGGGGGGGGGTATTCAATGCTAAAATACAGTTCTTAGTACGAAATTCCAGCCATGATGTTATATATCACTGAAAAGCTTGTTTATTGCTATCTCCAAATTACTTACATTAAAAAACGATCAAAGTTGGGTGGTACTAAACATCTATTACTATTTTCTGGCACATTCATATTTACTTACCTTAAAAAACGATCAAAGTTGGGTGGTACTAAACTCTATTACTATGATTATGAAGGGGGGAGGGGTGGGTACTCAATGCCAAAATACTGTTCTTAGTACGAAATTCCAGCCATGATGTTATATATCACAGAAAAGCTTGTTAATTGCTCTCTTCAAATATATAAATAATTTTCTAGCACATTCATATTTACTTACCTTAAAAAACGATCAAAATTGGGTGGTACTAAACTCTATTACTATGATTATGAAGGGGGATGGGGTGGGTGTTCAATGCCAAAATACGGTTCTTAATACAAAATTCCAGCCATAATGTTACATATCACTGAAAAGCTTGTTTATTGCTCTTTTCAAATATATAAATAATTTACTGGCACATTCATATTTACTTACCTTAAAAAACGATCAAAGTTGGGTGGTACTAAACTATTACTATGATTATGAAG